CTCTCTGTCAAGGGTCGAGTTTACAATGCTGCGGTGCGCTCCATATTACTATATGGATCAGAAACATGTCCGCCCTGCTGTAGGCAGGACGGAAAGCGACGCGGCTGATGACTTCACACAACGTCCGATGTGGCACTACGGTAATTATAGCTACAGGAATCACTGTATTCTGCGGACTTGGCTACTACCAGGGTGATCACACCTAGACGGTAGGACAATAAGGGTCCTCCACCAACGCCTTTAGCTCAAAACCCTGATCAAAAGATAGTAGATGCCAGAGGACTGCATTTTTTAAAGAACACGCTGCTGCACATGCTGTAAACGCAACATGGAGGACCAGGAGACTGTGTTGATCAGAACTCTAACTGGTGATCAATATGGTACGAAAGGGTCTGAGAATACCGAATGGACACTCCCAGTGCAGCGCACTGAGGTCATACAGTATCAGGAAGGTCAGCTTCCTGAAAGCAACCACTGAATGCCCGAAATCTACGGAGACTTTCAGCTCCGCTGGGTGTTGACCAGACAGACAACGCCTCCGCAATATGCAGCACTTCGCTGCCTCGTACTAAAGCCAGACCGCGTGCGTCAGCATTGGACCAAGTTCAGACAGTGTCCTTCGAATAAAAAGCTTGAGGCCGTTGTACTTTTCGCACTCGCACGCACTCGCGCTCTCGCACGCACTTTGTTGGAATATAGCTATTGTGTTCCCTTCCGTGAGTCTTTTCTCTCCGACACTAGGCACTGGAGCGGGTCAGCAGCAGATATCACAGGCCGGCGAATCAGCAGATATAACACACAGGCACACAAGCCGTCACGACACGGCGGGGTCCAATCTCCACTTGACGAGCAGGAGCAGTCGCGCCATGTTTCAGCTGATTCAATCAGCCAAAAAAAGACATTCGACAGTGAAACAAATGGGAAGACTCATTTGCAAAACCGTCTTGAGCGGTGAGCAATTCAGAGAAATTCAGCTGACCCGCATCAACACATCTGGAAAAACCCAGAGAGCCTGGATGGAACATCGACACCTGCCCGGAGACAGCAACGGAGATACGACATGGAATATGTTTCCTAAAAAGCGACGGGCACTCACCCTGGATGGAATGAACCCCTCACTTTTAAAAGATAGTAAATACCTGGTGAACGGTCCGGTGACCCTACCACGGAAGATTTGGAAAGGAAACAACATATAAATGGGATGGAGAGCCTCAACCACGATCCCAGTCTTCAAAGAAGGTACAATAGCGCTGGCAGAAAACCATCACGGTATGTTGGTCGCATTTCTAGATCTGAAAGCTACGCTTGACTTCGCATATCGTCAGAAAATTCATCAGTTTCTAGCGAAAAAGGATGTTTCTTTTAATTTACATCCCTTATGAAGGCCACGCATGTCATCTCCTCTGATCGGGTGCGAGTATACGGCAGACTTCCGCCTGAGTTCACCACGTCCAGTGGTGCAAGACAAGGCTGACGCTCTCACTCTTCCATTTCAACTTCGTTATTGAGGCATTGCTAGAATTTCCTCTACGTACCTCTGTAACCTCGGGGGTCAAAAGCTTCTGGGGCGTCCGCCCAAAGACACTGGATACGCGTAAGATATTACGCTTCTTGGTTCGGATATTTAAAAGATACAAGCCACTTAAAATAGCCTAAATAATTATGGCACACGGTTTGGTAGGCGTTTCATACCTGCAAAGTACTGCTACAAGACTGAGTGGGATCAAAACTCGTGCCTTTAGATAAGCTAATTGAGCTCGAGATAGCTCAGTGGTTAAGGCATCAAAACAAGGACCGGAAGGTCCGTGATTCGAACCTGACTTTAGCATCTCGACTGCTCCCGTCTAGGCTTGGGCAATCTGGCAGTATTTTATTCCTGGTGTCCCTTTTCGTTAGCATGGCAGCCAGACACCGAAAGGGTGTTCAGATGAATGATTTTTATTGGATGAATCAATTGGTGTGATAGCTAAATTCTCCACCTGAACAGTTGTGTAAGTTTCGGAAAGGCCAGGACAGATTTTGTCCACCTCCAACAACTATGAAGCCAAAGTCACACCCGTTTGTCTGTCAAAGGCAGAGTCTACAATGCAGCAGTATGATCCATAATGCTCTATGGATGATAAAGTGGCCTCCACGTGCAGAGGACATATGAAAGATGTGATTCTTTGACTGTCGATGTCCCGGAAACACTGACCAGGCCTGGCGGGAACATGAGATCAGAAATGCTGAGTTACGCCGCGTAGTTCTAGGAAAAAGGAAATATATCATGATGGGTTAGCTACTCACGTTCCTTAGAGTACGCTGGTTAGGACATGTTCTCCACATTCTAGAGGATCAGCTGCTTCGCACAGTTCCTTACGCATTTCTTAATTTTGTACAGTAACGTGTGTATACCAACTTGATTTGTTTACTCTCAATCAGCTAATAAAAATGCAAAATTAGACCTGCCTAAATACCGGCGTCTTCTACTTGCCCGTTGTGACTTCTGGAGAAATTAACTGAGGAATCACCAAGGTGACGCGTTTGACAGATCATTTTCAGCTTCCACTCAATCAGCCTGCCTTTCAGTTTCAACATCAGGAGTAACGATTGGACGCCAACCGGATTCTTTGAGTCAGAATTACACTTCCATGAGTTTGTTAAGATCTCCAGAAGCTTCCCTACAAAAAGTGTCCGATATGGATGTCCATTGTCTCCGTTTTTTCTTAAAACCTCGTCATTGGTGAATTAATGACGCGAACGCTGGAAGGTCTTCAAAGCCCCTGTGTTCAAACTGTTACCGGTGAGGACCTTGTTGATCTGGAATACGCAGACGACACACCCCTCATCTTTGATGACCAAGGCGAAGCACAAGCCCTGTTAAATAGGCTGACCACCGTCACACCATCTTTCGAAATGCACCCTGCACCTTCAAAGTACAAAGTCATGTTTTAATAGGTACAGTCCCTGAACATGCCCTTTTCAATTCAAGGAGAATCACTGGAGGTTGTATTTACTCTGACGGAAGTGTATTTGATGAAGTCCGTGCACGAATCGCCAAGGCCCGAATCACGTTTGCCAATTGGCGGCAGTTGTGGCGTCAAAACGGTAAACCACTGAGTCTCAAGGGTTGCGCGTGCCGGGCTACAGTAAGCGTTGTGTTGTTGAGCGGTTGCGAAACGTGGTCTCTGCGGACAAACGACGTAAGGCGTCTTCATGTTTTTGACTACTAATACCTCAGAAGCTTTGCTCGTGTCGAACGGCGTCGACGAATTCGAAACGGGCCAATTAGAGAATGGATATTTGGTTGTGCATCAAGTGGCTCGATCGCGGAAAACATCCAGCACCACCAACTGTGGTGCCTCATGTTCTACGCACGGAGACAATGGTTGTTCTCTGTGCCTTATTCAGAATAGTGGAAACTGCAAGGTGGACTACGCATGACTTGGAAGGGTGTAAAAGATATTACAAAGAGTTTGAGTGTTGGTGCTGTGGTCCCCGTGACTCCTGCACTCGGCTGGAAACAATGCAAGAAACGGCAGCTGATCGACGTCAGTGGTATTTTTGTTGTTTATTTCCAGATTATGCCTGAGTACTCGGTGTAGGTACCTCAGAATGCTTGCGACATCCACTTTTTCTTTTCATTTTAAGGCTTTAAACTTAATTATATAAGCCGTGTGGTTGTACGGCAGTGATGCATTAGTTACTGTTAGTTACTGTCTCTGATGGTTACAAGTGGTTGGAGTCCATACCGAAGATTAACTTTGCATGAGTCACCGAAATTTGAACCCCACTCTGCTTGCGACAATCCATAAAGCTTTACATAATCCTTTAGTACAGCCAACCACATATTTGGAAACCACTCCAATACGTCCCATGGGGGGTCCGCACTGGCTTTATACTGGTCTTCAAGGCTGTTCCACTATCAACACAACATTGCTCGGTGATATCAGGACAACTCCAATCTAAACTCGAGCTATTGCTCGAGCGCTTTGAAGTGCTTTGTCCAGATTGGTTGTCCCATGTGTGCAGGCCCTCCAGGATGGTTCATATACATGTAAATCATCTCCGGTAACGGTCACTAAGCCTATCACACCCACTGATTGCAAGTAACTTTGAGGCAATCGACACCATCGTTTTCACATGAACCTGTGCACCTGAGTCACACCTCATACGACTAAACCTACGGATCTGCATGAAAGAAAACGAGGAGAAACAAATAAACCCTCGTTCAAGCTAGGATGTGATTAGGAAAGACTTACAGGACATCTTTGCGGTAAAAATCCTCGATGGTCGGGTCATACTTCTCAACAAATTTCCCGGAGACGAATTTTACAGTTAGAGCGCTTTTGCCCACACCCCCACTTCCGAGGACCACAATTGTATGCTGTTTTCGCATGATCCTGACAATGATCACGTAGGGCTAGTCATCGCGACCTGAGCAGAGTCAGGCTCCACATCCCACACCACTGGAGAAGGTCGGGTCAACACGCCGAGCCTAACTGTTCGTCTCTGAAGGTCAACCTCAAGGTCATGGGACGATGCGGTGGGTACGATGCTTTCGAGCCCCCAAGTGCTAGTGGGCTCTAATCGTCAGGCATCGCATCCATATTCACAATAGTATAGTGACTGAAAAGTCATGAAGCAGCAGGCCACTCTACCTTTGGTGATGGTCAGAAATGGATTAGAGAGAACGGTACATACATCCGAAGATTCTATACATAATATCTGAACATTCGAGGCAGCTTCATCACATTAACAATACGTACTGGATGACCATGTGACGTTTAAACGTATAGCCAGTAATCGAAGCACCACGCCATTTTGCGTGGGTGTATTACGAACGCAGCAGGCAATCAGCCAAGCCAACGAAAAGTTGAAGAATCCAAAGAAGCTAGTAAGCTGAACTATTGGAAATCAGTAAGCGAAGCATCGGTTATCCAGTGCGTCTTTGCCTAAGTAGGCAGGGACACCATTTCTCGGTCACCTCTCATTATCTCGGACACAAATACGGGGTTTCTAAGTTTTTCTAAGGACGACTTCCGGTAGACCGAACCTGAACAGCAGTTGGGCGCCTGATGGCCCTGTTGAAGTGTGGAACACCGTAGTGTGAAGTGCGGCGGTTTGCAGCTGATGGATTCGACAAGGCCCTTACCCGGGATATACAATTGCCGCCGCAATCGTCCGCCATCTCCGTCATTTGGTTGGGGTTTGCTATGGCAAATGATATGCCTTCAATCCTGGTAAAAGTTCGGTAGTCTAGACGCATCTTGTGCTGCAGTCAGAGGAGGGTCACCCAGCCATATACCCTTCTCCAGATGGCAGACAACGCTTCCAGGATGCAGTAGATTTTGATAAAACACGCGACAAACCGTTTTCCGTAATTGTCTTTTAAGCAACATATAGCTGGGCCGTTCATACAAGATGTACCGGTAGAGGACGTCGGGTTATGTATGGCCCGTGGAAAGCCAGAAGTTTTCTTCCGTCCGTAAACTGCTTGGCTTGTTCAGAGGAACGACGGATGAACATTTTCCTCGTAGAGACTTCTCCTATGGACAAACTGGCGGCACATATGCAGGCAGCGAGATTAGTTTTCGGCTACAATTTCACATGCTATTTCTATATTTGAAAAGATATCAGGAAGCACATATGTATCATATAAAATCCATGTTTTTTTGTCACAGATATACTCTGTGATCAGCCGGCACATTTTCCACCACATGGTTCGCCTGCACAATGCTGTACAGTAGGTTTTGGTTTATCATGATACAAGAACAGATTTTGACAATATCCGCAACTGCTGCACCGTACGGACCTGTGATTTGCCTGTTACCCAACGGTTCGCTTAGTTTTTTCATCACCCGGAAACCGGCTACCCAGACACAATCCGACATGGTCCATTTTGGTAATGTGACCAACAACCGTCTAAGAATGCAAACGGTCACCTGAAAAACCGAAGTCACCATTGTGACACCCTGGCGGACGCCATAAAAAAGGTGCGCCGGTTCGCCAAGTGGCTAATGCGGGAATATGGGAATCGCACGTCATAGCATGGCAACCGACAAGAAGTTCTGGAGGGCGAAGGCTACCCTCAGAACGGTGTCTATCGAAGCACATATGCGTGCTCCCCGGTTTTGAACCCACCAAGTGAGGTCAACCCACGCTAACTAACTTACAGTTAGTTAGGTGCAAACACCTAGGGGCTCCCAGAGGGTTGGTACCTATTCTGGTGAATGCACATGTCCCTTCTACCAGGCGATGTGGCTCACGGACATCCATCTGCATTCATATTAAAGAGCGGTTGTTGCCAAGTCGTGAAAGATGCTCTTTCCAAATGCTTTTTAGGTTGATTCCCCATCAACCAACGATGGCTGTCAGAATACAGTCCCCTTTCACGTTTTCCCAAGCAACCGCCGACAACTTTTGACGGCATGTGTATGAAACTAAGACTAGTGGTGAGATGGCTTCACGGGTTTCAACCTAAGTTGACCATGGCCGTCAATAAGCGCTTGATTGTCCAACAGCAAAAATTCCTGAGCCAAGGCCCAACGTCAGCGTGAAAAGACCTGACGCCAGTTGTCGAGATTAATGCGCCGCAACCCAAACAGGTTGCCTAAGGGAAGAAGACTTAGCTTATGTGTGCTTTGTCGCCTACCAACCAATGAAAGAGATTATTGGTGTGCAACAAATGGCCTATCACATCACATTGGCTGTTGTGATGGTGGAACTTTTCCACCATGAAGTGGTGATCTTCAGGCTTGTTCCAAGGGTGAGTCCGCAGGTGAATAATTCAACTGTTGTGCATGGCCACCTGCCTGTCCAGAAAACGTAGGTGTGTTCTTGCCAAACGGTCCCCAAATGAGGATTCTTTCGATGAGAACCTAAGCCGGAGCACGGATTCCCAGCAGACTATGTTCCGAAAGTCTGCGTTCACCAGGATTTTCGCCTCCACGAGGGGGCTAACCGATAGCCCTGAGTTAGTAACATAATACTAGGACTAACACTGTAGAGCACCAGTTATAAGGAAGAGAAGACGGTGATTTTCTCTGACTTATACAAGGCCCATCGATCCCTGACAGTTCCTACACTGGTGAGACATCACGCATTTCAGTTAAGTGTCGTGTTTCTTGAGGCCTATTAATTAGTGGGCACCAAGCTGCAAGACTTAGCGCAATACGACCCAGCCATTGAGAAAAGTGTTGTACAAACAGGCCTATGTGAGATTGTCGGCGCTATAGTGCTCATTCAATATAGTACGAATCGCTAACTTTGTTATTCGCCTGCCTCACAGTGATATTTCGATAAATTATCTATATCTTCCTCTCATTAGAGGACGTCAATAGGTAAATGAACATTACACACCAAGAAGGCCATATGCTTTCCTGTGGAATTTAACCTTTATCCCGTAAAATCTCCATTTAAGTTTTCCTGGGAGAAACGAATGGGTGCGTATTAGCCAGCTGATCAATCATCGCGGATCGCTAGGCGCATGTTAGTCGTGTGCTGCAGCTAGGTTTGTCCAGCTGTCCACCGTAATCTTCAATTGGATGTCGTCGTATGTTTTTTCTCTGCAACGAATAACTCTCCACTACAATCCAACATCAATCTTGATCTACGGGCATGTGTAGTCAACATCCGCAAGTTTTGCACTCATCAAACCTCGCACTAGTTTTCAAAAAATAACGAATGTGATAACCTCGAATAATACCCGGAAAAGCAGTTTTCGAGGCCTCAGAACACAGAATCTCGTATTTGTCCAGTCAAGCAGGGCTCACATGGTAAAAATAAATTTGAGAGTGACACCTCTGCATATTTTGTGCCCACAAGCACAACGCGCGCTCTAGAAAACCCAATGACGTATTTCAGCCACAGAACTAACTCCAGCTTCCGCCCATTTTATGTGATTAAATTTCTATCGAAATTAGGCACCGTTTTGCCAAGTATACATACTAACGAATCCATTTCTGCATTAATTAGTAGTCCCATTAAGTCTAGCTATCATGAGACAAAATAAAACTGACTGTAGGGGTATGTGATTTTGATAATGCTGGATAAAATGCTTCAAGTGCCAAACTTGGAGAGGTGCATGCCTTACAGTGCAATTCACCCGGAAAGCTCTCTTCACCTGACTCATGAGAGACGACAGTTCTCCTCAACCCCACAAGTTTACCGACGAGATTAACGAAACTGTCAGTGTTATCGAAACAGTTGGGGTCGTCTCTGACGGATTGGAATCGAAGCAGTATTGTGTAACTGAATCCCAGCTGACTCGATAAACCCTGCTCTCGGACCGGTGCTGTGGCGGCTGCGCTCCGACAGACTTGATACACAAAAGGTAAGCCAACATAAGCCTACTTGTCAGCCGCAGCCGAATGTATCATGCGTAGCTCAACTTGTCGGTGGCAAGGAACTAGACCCACTAAAAAGATTTGGCCAATCGAATATTCGGCAAGTGCTGCATATACCGTAATGACCAACGAAGATTTTCGGTTTCATGCGGGCCAGCCCGCCAATCCCAAGAAAAAACCCACATACCCCATCTATTAGGAAAAGACATTTTTTAAAATTGGATAAAACTGGACCTAGTGGGTGTCGGTGGCCCCAGAGACCGAGATCATTGGGGGATACTGAGAGCTCCATGTAACATCACTGTACGCCTCGAACTCTTCAAGAGTTTTCCGTCGCCACCTTTCATCCGGAAAGGCCATGGTTTGTCAAATCACTGATGAGGTGGTGAAATGCACCCTTGATATTGCTTTCACGGGGACAATCATTGCGTTCCAGGTCCGAAGGCCTAACTTTGTGTATTCCAAACGGCAATACGCCCACTCCGCCAACCGTTGTCATTATGTTACCCTTGAGGCAGCCTTAAGTAGTGGCTGAGGAAAATTTCTAAAGCAGTATTTATGGGATTATCACGGGCTTTTTCGCAGGGTTGTCTTAAGAGCTTCGTCATGAATTACGTTGCATCTTGATTGGCTTACATTCTGGCCAATCAGGATATGCCTACGTTTGGACCGTAGCTGGGTCGCAATACACTTCTCCAGTAGGCGTGATGTCGGGTGGTCGAGATTAACTCGCCTTCCCGTGTTGTTGGTCTTATTCAAAAATGCGCATTCAAGGTGTTCCAGAAAAATGCGGTTGCTGTAGCACCTCAGCTTGGTTATTCGCGAACGTGACTGCGACCGGACGTACAGGATATCGAGACTGGTGTCTACAGACTTATTAGGTCTTTCCTTTGTCTCTTAAGCCGCTACAGTTCATCCCTGACAGTTGTGCATGCCGGTTAAGGTCCACTAAGCCAGCTGCTTACCATGGACCGGACGTTGACATGGTCGGTGACAACGCGCCTGCGGCTTTCAAATTCGACAGATCATCGGCTTCCATTTCATCAACTCTGGATTTTCAATGGAACTATTTGTAGCATCGCATGCATTGTCTTATGGGATTGACATGGCGGCCTCGCATGTACCTCTTCTCTCGCGCGGCCATCCTTTTCGTGAATTCGAGCACGGCCACCAGTTAGCCCCAATCGATTGGGACGATCGTCTGGACTACGTACTTTTTCCCAAATCCAAAAAAGCATTTCTCACAGCAATCTAGATACAGATGTTTATTGTATTAGGTTCTCGCTATAATCATTGAACAGTGTAATATGCATGCTATGGAAGCACCGGGAGACAGTGATTCTCCGAAGGCTTGTGTTCACGACAATTTATGTGGATGGAAAACGGAAACCAAGCTCATGAGCCAAAGCCCAGGAAGCAAGGTTGTACATCACCAATACCTACATATGAATTAATCAAACTGAGACACCGTATACTACAAACAGGCCTTTACAAAAGCCTCTTTGAGCCTTTTTTGCGGGTCACGGCTTCCCTGCATTCCCAGCCTATTCTGTTCGTTTAACTTCCCCGACCCACTATATCTCCTCGTCAATACACAGGCCGTATTCAAACTATCGTCTAGCCAAATAGCATGCGAGCCTGGAGGGGTAGAGTGCATTAGATCCAGGTATCCGGTGGCTTACGTGTACGTGTTCTGAAATACAGTTACCGACCTAACGCATAACCGAGATGGTTTAATGAAAATCCGGGAAGACGAGTGTTCCTAGTCAAACCGTATATCCATAGGTAGTCGACAGCTAAAAGATGAACGAGGCAAACGCTGGAGGATCTCCAACCTCTCAGTGTTCAGGTATCTCCGGGCGCGAAGCTTGACCTGGAGCATGCAGACGAATCTGTTATCATTTCTTGAAAAGGAGCTGGAAGCTCAAGCGATTCCAGAAAACCTGACTTAGGCCATACAGTCTTTCGGCATGTGTTTCGTGCTCACATGGTAAAAGGTCAGGCTGAAAGATGCACAGCTCAGTTCAGTTCAGTTCTTCAGCTCATAATCTGTGCACTGATGTTCAATGGTTCCAGCTGCTGCAGGTACCCGCTGGAGGCGATCAGTTTGTGCATTGACGATAAATAGATCTACCTGTTCAGCAGAAATTAGGAGGTACATAGTGAAAGTGATAGCTTTACGCAAGAGCGCCATTCCCGACCCGAAGCTGTCACTGTCATGGCAGTCGGGCTTCAGTACTGCATTGATTCTTCCGGCTGCACTGACTGAGACCAGGATTCAATCATGCTAGGAAGGTCGACGGTGAGCAGCCCGACGAAGAAAGCCGAGTCCCCGTATTACGAAGAGGTCTGGAGATAGTATGGCGTCATCATCATCAGAGACAGCAACATCAGTGTTGGCACTGGTGGCTCACTGCCGTAGTGTATGTCATGGTTGTACGAGGACTGGGATACTGCCAGGGCGCCCACACCTAGACAGGAAGACGATTATGGTCCCCAACCAAAGCCTTTGGCTTAAAAGCCTAATCGCAAGGCAGCGATGTTCGGCTGGAAATGCAGGTACATTACCATTTTTTTACGGAACACGTCGCCATACACGTTCCAACCCCCAACCTGGAGAGCCAGGAGACTGTGTTCGTCGGACCTCTACCCATGGACCAACCTGGTATGAGAGACTCTGTGAGCATCGTGCGGACACTCTTATAGCTAGCTCAATGGGTCGTCGAGGTACACAAACCGCCACACCACGGATAGCTTTCCATTCAGGCGACCAGTGTCTCCATATTTATGGAAGCAGCGATGTCGCATTCTACCGAGGAAGGACGCCTTAGAGAAAACCAGCCCTGGAAACGCACATTGATCGCTCAACGGTTGACTGTGGCCACTGGCGTATTATTCAATACGGTCGAAATGCTTATAAAACCAGAGTCCATGTGCTGCTGAGAAGTCACCTGCTGTGCGCAGTCGCCCTGGGAGCTAGACCGTAAATCCTTACCCTCTGCGTCTTTGGGCCAGGCTATCCCCATGCAGCCAATTGGGTGAGACTATTAAGTTATTGGTTCTGGGAAGAGCACCCTTCCCCCAAGAAAACCTTAACAACGGCTGCGTCGCGGTTCAGACTTTTGAGTCAGTGGCAACCGGGGAGTTTCGTTCGTCCTTGCAACTCTTCACTCACCGGCCCTCCCCCACACCTGCCTCCGCCCATCGAGTGATGTAGTGCGATACGCCCGTCTGCCAGTCCCCCACTTCTAAACTATTGTCCAGAAAAATAAACAAAAATGCTCACTTACTAACCCCAATGTCTGACCCCCGTTACAGCGTTTAATGCCCGTACACGGTCAAACTTGGCAACAAGCATCTCTTGCTGAAACTACTTTTCGTTTCTGCCGATGTATGTTGTGTCTCCGAAACATTCATAGAACACGCCACGTTGGTCTTGCATCTCAAGTTGCTTTGGACGAACTCAGATGTTTAACATTTTACTTTTTGGATATCTGGTGATCCTGATGCAATGGTTTGTAGTATATACGGTGTAGAAGTTGCACTCACCCCGAGGGCTGAAGCCGTTTGCTGAACTGGATCTCAGTTGCACTATGCAGTTGTCTGACTCAATTTCAATGTAGGTTAATGTGGTAAACGGTATTTATTTGTCGTACGGGAACATGCCCAGACTGACTGCGATTCTGAAACTACGAAGAACAGGCTTTATCGAGATCTGTCGCAACCGCTTCGCTCGGCAATAAGGACGGATATAGCAATCTTTATGTGCGATACCGTTCGACTTCAGCATTGTTAATCCAGTGTCATCACCAGACTCGGGCAATGGTCCGAAGACATCAATGGTCAAACACTGAAAGTCGTTTGATGTCCTCAGCGAGCAACGACCAGGTTTCTGATCCGTATAGTAGTGTGGAGCGCACCGCAACATTCGAAACTCGGCCATTGACAGATAAGCTGATGTCACGCCTACGCCACAGGTGACGCAGATTCACAAAAGCTGCTTTGGCCTTCCCACTCCAGGTGGAAATATCTTTCATGAGACAATAGGGACTGATACAGCTGCCTAGATAAACAAGTTTGTGTACTACCTCAATCGGTTCACCCGCAAGCTTGAGGCCAGGGTTCGAGCCCACCCAGTCTTGCAGTAGCACTTTACACTTTGCAGGTGTGAAGCGCATGACAAGCCGTGAAGCGGAGTTATTTAGATTATTTAATATTGTTTGCATTACCACGAGATCAGATCTAATAAGAGCTATATCGTCTGTATATTCTATCTCCGTGGGCGGACGCTCAGGGAGCATTTCGATTCCACAGGCATTAGAGACTGATGGCGAGTCTTTCATGGTCGTACCCATGACGAAGTTGAAGAGGAAAGGTGAAAGAGGATAGCCCTGTCTCACATCACTTGATGTTGTGAACTCAGGTAGGAACTTTCCGTAGACCTTCACTCGGCCGCGGGAGTTAGCGTACAGCGCCTTAAGGAGGGTCAAGAATTTATGGGGAGACACCCTTGCTCCGCAGACACTGTCATAGTTACTCACGGTCCACAGAACCAAAGGCAACTTTCAGACCAAGAGACACCGTCATTGTTGGTTGCCGGAATCAGTGTCGCCGTTCCAGAATTTGTTGGAGAGTGAAGGTATGGTCGGTGCATCCTCTTGGAAGATGGGTCCCAGCTTGGTTTTCACGGATCTGTCTCTCCCTGTGTTCAGTCAACGTTCAAAGGATAACACCAGAGAGCACTCTCGATGCCCCAGCCACTAGGCTGATGCCACGGCGGTTTTCACACAGCATCCATGTAGCATTTTTGAAGACATGCCCCACTCTGCAGGGACATTCTCTTCGTTCCATATAGCACCAACAAGCTTTGTCAGATGGATCGCCAGGGATTCTCCGCCTTCTTTTTGAAGGCTTGATGCAGGCCGTCCGGTCCTGGTGCCTTCTCACGTTTTATCACGGATGTTTCGTACTTTCTTCTGAAGGGCGATCAATGTTTACATTCCATTCGCCTGTATGCACTGTCACTATGGGCTATGCTGCAGGAGGCCTGCTGAATCGTTCTTCCAAGTGATCGGTTCATCTTTCCAGTAGACGTTTTTGCGAGTGAATTAATGGACCTCTTTTTCACTTATCGTTTCGCTGACCGTTCCTTTTCTAGGACCAGTCGATCGTATCAGTTGATATAGGGCACGGCTGTTTCCCGAAGCAAAAGCCTCTTCCATCTCCTGAGCTTTCGATGTCCACCAAAGCTCTCGGTCTTTCCTTAGCGTACGGATAACGGGGAGCAACTACTTCACTTTTGTGCTAAGCATCGTCTGTTCCTGACAAGTACGAACTCCCAGGAAGAACGCTCACATCGAGTTACTTGGATGCCACCGACCGCGAGGCAGCCGAGTACTCAATTGGATCATGTGGCTATCAGCTTCCGACCGAGAGTCTTAATTAAAGATTGCCATGAATTGGGTATAACGGCGAGGCGACTGAATGGGATAAAGAGATAAACAAACAGATGGTCCTGACTTATGGCGAAATAACAGCGCGTACTCAACGATGCACTGCCACTGTTGATGCAAGATACTGGTCCCCGTGGGTTTGTTGCACGTTAGGTATAAATAACAGAAACCAAGAGAAGGTATAACCGTTACGCGACTCAAATCATGTTTTACTTCTCTCCGAATGACACATCGAACAGCAACACGCTTCAACACGCAGCATCGTGAACTTTAGTTGACATAAACCGGATACCCTCAGGCAAAACAGCAATAAAGAATAGTAGTAGTTCAGCTGTAGTGCGCCTTGGATGCATAGCTGTCCTTCAAACCCTTAGGTGTTCCGTCTGGCGAGCCAGTTCGTGCTTAGGAACCAGATGATATACTTGGCACCACAAACCAGACATGCATCTCCTCAAGTCAAATACGTGCGGTTGTCGAATTTTAAATGTGTTGATATACAAATCGGCACCTGTGCAACATCATCATCATCATTGTCAGCAGTAATAACCGCGTACTCGTCGTACTGTGGT